TCAACAATTCTTGATCGTAGGTCTTCTGAGAGCTCTTTTCTGCAAGGCATGGTTCACATCAGACAGTGCTTCTTGAAACCAGTAAACCCAAAACAGGTGTGTGTTTTTTAAGGGCAGGACAGCTGTCAGCAACACATCCAATATCATCACACTGATTGGAGTCAAGGTTGGCTCACTCCTGGCTCCAATTAGCTCTGGGAGAAGTCATTAAGCTAGGGTCTCACATACTTTTTCCTCCCTGCACTGTGAATGTTTACATGTTATGTGCAATTAAACCATGGCAACATCTAATGTTTTGTGTAGTATTATGTTCAGCAGACTGTGTTCTTCTATTGTTGTGACTTAGATGACGTTCAGTGCACATTTTATGCCCAATTCATGCAAAACTCCACGTAATCCCAAGGGGTTCACATACTTTTTCTTGCAACTGTATTAATGGGATAGCCTACCATACTACCAGGGCCTCCAAACTTGGGATTGGTCAAACTCCCATCAACATGCAGATTTAGGTGTTAACCCCTTCTGCCCACTGGCTTCCAGAAGCTTCCATGGCCCTCCAGAACAAGGTGGAGGCAATAGAGTCCCAACCTGCTGAGTCACCCAGCCTGACCTGCAGGAGCCCAACATAATTACAGACTCACTGTCAGGGTCCTGTCCATGGCCGGAGTTCTGGAAGATCTGGCGTTTCTGCCAATACTCTACATGGCCGCAGAAGGACACATCAGTCTCAGTCTGGTGCCAGACAGCCTTTATAAGGAGGCTCATCACTTCCTCTGGTTGCTGGATGATCTCTAGCTCCCCGTGCCCTGTTCCTGGTTCCTGTTTCCTGTGGTTCTGACTTGTGATTTCCTGTTACCGACTCGGCTTGCTCCTGGACCTGTCTACTCTGTTTTACCCCTGATCTGACCTCGGCTTGGCTTACGGACACTCTCTCTCTCTCGCTCCTCTGTGAATGAGCTCGGCTTTCCCATCTGACCACATCTGCTCTGATTCTCACCCGGTACCTGACCTTGGCTTGAACCGACTACCCAGTAAACATCTAAATCCCGGAAGGGCTTGCATACCACGCACAGGCGCCTGTCTGCAGACCTATCTCTGTGCACCAGCTGTGCTTCTGAGTGGACCACCAACCAGCACTCCTACAGGCGACCTGTGCAACTTTGGGCCTGACTCCCGCTGTCCCACTCTCAGGGGAGTCCGGAACTTAGCTGCAAGGGAAGCCCTCTCTCCATTGGCCTCCATCACCAGGTACGTGATACTCACACAGTTACCATGAGTCATACCATAATAACTTTACCTACACTAACACTAGTATCACACTAGAGGGTGCTACACTCTACTTAGTGACACTAAATTATATTGTTATTAATAATAAAAAAAACAAAATACATTCACTTCTTAATGGCCCTGTAATCTATTTTTGGGTATAACCATTCAAAGTCCAATGATGTACCAGTATGTCGCTGGTCCTTGTTGGGTATACAGTTGTGCTCAAAAGTTTGCATACCCTGACAGAAATTGTGAAATTTTGGCATTGATATTGAAAATATGACTGATCATGCCAAAAATGCTGCTCTTTTATTGAAGGATGATTATCATGTGAAGCCATTTATTATCAAATAGTTGTTTGGCACTTTTTTAAATCATAATGATAACAGATATCACCCAAATGGCCATGATCAAATGGAATGTTTGGCCTTGGTACAGACACACAAGGTGACACACACGGGTTAAAATGCCAATTAGAGGTTAATGTCCCACATCTGTGGCTTTTTAACTTGCAATTAGTGTATAAATAGTCAATGAGTTTGTTAGCTCTTACGTGGAAGCACTGACTAGGCTAGATACTGAGCCATGGGGATCAGAAAAGAACTGTCAAAAGTCCTGTGTAACAAGGTACACCGTGTGTTTATTGTGTAATCAAATAGATATATACTCACAAACCAAAGGAGAATAAAAGCAGAATGAATAGTCCGCAATGGCAGTCAATACAATGCTGCACCCAAATTGGGGATAAGCTGACGCGTTTCGGGAGACAAACCCCCTTCCTCAGAGCTCTGAGTAAATATATATATAGTATATATCTATTTGATTACACAGTAAACACATGGTGTACCACGGTAATGCATGATGAGAGTGCGCCCTTTTTTGTTCACTGGGCAGGAAGTGGTTAACATGAGGGGCAATCAAAGGGTTAACTGTGTGATTGGAGTGTTTTACTAGGGCCATCCCGAGCAGTGTGCCCAAACTGACAGGGAGGAGGACTGTTGGTAAACAAAGCAGCCCTCTTCCCTGTCAGTGATCACTGGTAATCATCGGGCACCGGTGGGTAATCACGGGCTGGGACCCGGTGATTGACACCTGCGGCCAAAAATGGCGTCGCGAGGACGGCGAGCACGGCTCACACGTGCCCTCTACCCGGAAATGCAGAATCACGTATATATACGTGATTTTGCGCACCTGTGCCGCCATGTAGCAGTATAACTGCTATACAGCGGCTGGTAAGTGGTTAAAGCAGAGACTGCGAGCCAGGCCTCATCTGACATCAGTGCTTGCCCTTACAAATGCGCTTCTTGAAGAATGGTCAAACATTTCCATAGACACTCCTAAACCTTGTGGACAGCCTTCCCAGAAGAGTTGAAGCTGTTATAGCTGCAAAGGGCAGGGCCAACTCAATATTGAACCCTACGGACTAAGACTAGGATTCCATTAAAGCAGAGTTCCACTCACGCTGTCAAAAAATAAAAGTTAGCAGCTACAAAAACTGTAGCTGCTGACTTTTAAAAAACAGCCACTTACCTGTCCATCAGTCCCATGGTGTGTCCCCCGCAGCTTGTTTCACCAGCCGTCCTGTATTCCAGGAGGCCGGCATCTTCAGTGTGGGCACCCGGCTGTGACAGCTTGCTGTGATAGCCACTGCGCATGCACGAGTAGCCCTGCGCTTCATGAATGGTCCTGTAGTCTTCTGGGACCTGTCACGTGTCCCAAAAGACTACAGGGAGGGAGGACACCTTCTGCTTCCGATCACCTAGTCGATCGGACCGGAAGTGGGAGCGGGTACTTGTCAAATTCGAGTACCCACTCCCCCCGCCCCCCAAAGGTGCCAATACTTAATGGGGAGTGGGGGGAGCAGTCCTTAAAGCAGAACTTCCCCTTTTGGATGGAGCTCCACTTTAAATTCTTGTGTGTGTAAAGGCAGGCGTCCCAATACTTTTGGCAATATAGTAAGTATCATGATAAATTTTTTCTTGAGTTCTACTTTAAATTATTAAATTATCTAGGGGGAGAAAGAAAAAAGTAAGGCCTCATTTACACCGAATGCAACAGAAACGCATATGCAAGAAAAAAGAATGTAGTTCAATGAGTCCAGTTTATACCATTATGGTGCTTTCAAGTGTGTTTAAAAAAAGTACACCAGGCTGCATTTTGTTTCATGTACATGCACAGGAACGTACGTAAATGCACATGACCACATGGCAAGTGCATGTAAATTCAAATCAGTAGAAAAAAAAAAATCATAAAAATAGCCACAAAAGCACAGCAAATGAACTGCAAACGCGCCAGCCATGCATGTAAATGTGTATGCAAAAATGGCCCATACACATAAGGAAATCGTCTGAAAATTTTAGAACGAGCACCGATTGTCCAATGATCTGATTGTTAGTACACAGGTTTCGAGAGCCAATCACGACAATTCATGCGACAATATCTGAAGGGACAAGCGCGAAAGTGTAATGAAAACGATTTTAGTTTAATCAGCACAGTAGTTGTCCGAAAATACACTACAAATACAATACATACAATACATTGCTTCATTTCAAAATTTTTTCTTTCGTACGAGAATTTTTGTAAGTTTAGTACCCTTTTCATTTTCAATATAGAGACTAGCATGCTTTAAAAACCCCCAAAAAACGGATGATCATTCGTTTGACATTCTTATCGGGTGTACGGGGCATAAGGGTTCATTCACACCACAACGCATTTGTTAATGCATGCGTGCTGCAGTGCATTGCAGTTTTTTGTAATGCATTGACATGCATTTTACATGTGTAGCATTTGTTTTGTTTGTAATTTTTTTGCCTCGCAGTGCATTGCGATTTTGCGCATTTGTGTGCATTGCATACAACTGAACGCTTTGCTTTGCGCTGCACTGAAAAAAAGTAGTACATACTGTACTTTTTTCAGTGGTGGGCAAATGCAATGCAATGAGCTGGTGTGGATTTATAGGGAACCATTATTTTTTGGTTCCCATGCGTTGGCAATGACCCCACAAACGCCTCCCAGCGCATGAATGATTGAACTCTAAATGTGAATGAACCCTGAACGCTTTTGTGGCATAAACTAGCCCTTGAAGAGCTACAAGCAACCCACAAACACCAGTCTGGCTTGCCGTCATATACAATTACTTCTGGTCTTACCTTTCGGTCCAGGTAAAATTGTGTGCGTTGAGCAGGTATCTGATCGGTTTTCAGCCTCTGAGGCACCAATATGGGGCAGGAAAAGCACAAATAAGACAAAGTAGATCCTGAATTGAGTATGGATCACAGGAACCATGTTCAGAGGGTGCAGGGGACCCGTCCGGGATGTCCGAGTGTCCGGGGACTATGTGTAAGAAAGACATGTCATTAGTGTTCAGTAGTTGGCGTTCTATCATCGAGGTCTCTGCTCAGTGTCAGAAATATTTATCCTATCCTGACATGTTTATGTTCAATTATCTCTGAATGGTGAAGCATTCTATGCCTAGATCCATGGGAGAATACACTGACTAGGACTCGGCCTGCAAAACGGATAATTATGTAAATTCCAGAAATATTCTTTTTTAAAAAAATGAAAGCACGTCACTTCAGCTCATTGAATTCAATTTCAAGATGTAAAACGGTTAGGCCTTATTCAGACCCATCTGTTCCATTGTGTTAATGCACATTAACAAAGCCCAAGAATGGGACAAGGGTTCTAATCCTTCCCCACTCTATTAAAATCCAGGGACGGACTTACAACTCATGGGGCCCCCGGGCAATAGGGGATCATGGGGCCCCTGTGTCCTTGCCCAAACTCAAAAAAGCCTATGAAAAAGGTACCAGGGGCATCTCATGGGGCCCCCTACTGACCCCGGGCCCTCGGGCAGTGCCCGAGTTTCCAAATGGTCAGTCCGCCCCTGTTCAAATGTAGAAAAAAAATGTTTAACCTTCATGTAGGACTACACTGGGACTCCCCTTCTTCATCCAGAGTTGAGTCTGTATCAAAGAGAACCCACCGTGGAAGCAACACCTGCAAAGGAGCAAACGTCTGCTGCTACCTCCGAGTACTCGCAGCTGCTCACTCTGGGATCACAGTCATCCCTGCCTCCTTCACCTAGATCTGTGGCCTGTTGCCAAGGTTGACCTTTCCCACAGGACCTGGGCTTGAACTGCTGACTGCACCACCTGCCTCAGGAGAGCTGCCAGCAAGGGATTCTGCATCACTACCCACCTGTGTCCAGGATCATCAGTAGCTGCACTGCTTGAGCCTTCAGTGTTGGCTCTACCCTCCAATGACCTGCCGGACAGCACCAGCACTTCCCTACTGGACTACCCATTTCCAAGCCTACAGATCCTTTTATCTTGCAACCAAGTGTCACCACACACAACTTGGCATCCATTAAAGAAGATAAGACCGCTGTTTATGACCCTGTCTGAGCCTTGGGTCTGCCCAAAGACCTCCAGATTAACCGAGAATCTTGATATTATGGACAAGAAATGGCTCATTCCTAAAGAGGTATGCCTGGGCAGCCACAGACTAGCATAGCAAGTTAGGGACAGATGCATTGGACTGTGATGTTTTGTATTATGTACTGCGCTACGAACGTTCAGTAAAATCTGTTAACCTTGAGCTTGGTATTATTATTATTATTATACAGTATTTATAAAGTGCCAATAGTTCGCTCAGCGCTGTACATTACAAAGGGGGACAGAACATGTGACAGAACAATACCAATACAATGCAAAACATGAGGGGATCGAGGGCCCTGCTCTTTCGAGCTTACAATCTAGGAGGGAGGGGATGGTGGTATGAAGTTACTCACAAAGGGGCGCATGAAGGTTAATGGCAATCACAAGAACCTGCGTCAGTTAAAGCACATCGAGGTATGAAGCAAGTCTGTTACAAAGGGTTCACTCGGCAGGAGGAGTGGAGGAGAGTAGCTGCCACGGGTAACCAAGTACTGGTGTAAAGTGTTTTAGCAGCCTGTTGTGAAGCGTCATAATTGGGTAAGGTGGAAGGTTCTCCAGTAGCGAGGGAGTCAGTGATCTGGCTCCCTCCCTAGCGATCTGTTTTCCATAGCAACCGGGACTGAACCAGTTATGGAGAGCCGCAACCTAACTACGGGAGAGAATGTGAGGAGTTAAGTGTGACCACGCATGAGGTCAGGATTGTGTCACTAGGAGTGAGGTGGCAGAGGTACGCTGGACAGGTGGAGAGGGCATCGGCTCTGCGGTGTCCCTCCTAAATGCAACAATAACAATGAGGTGTGTAGTGACATGGGACATAGCGCTTCACAAAGGAACTCTGTACATTCAATTGCTACACACAGTGCATGGCTCATCTCTAAGTTGGAGCTCAAGGTTTTTGCATTCTATGCATGACGGTAAAAAACACTTCTCTTTGCAGCATTCTCCCCAGCCCCCCCTAAAACTCACCTGAGCCCCCTCTCGATCCATTGATGTGCATTGGAGTCTTAGCTATCCTAGGACTCCCTCTCCTCACTGGCTGACTGAGACAGTCAATTACAGTCAGTGGGCCAATGAGTAGAGAGACTGAGCAGGGCTGAGCTGCGGCTCTGTGTGTGAATGGACACACAGAGCAGCGGGTGACCCCAAAGCAAGTTGCTTGCTGTGGGGGCACCCGACAAGAGGGAGGGGCCAAGAGAGCCTGCCGAAGACCCGAGAAGAGGAAGATCGAGGCTGCTCTGTGGAAAACCACTGCACACAGTAGGTAAGTATAGACATGTTTGTTATTTTTAGAGAAAAGAATTTAAGCCTTTAGTATTGCTTTAACCGCTCCCCATCTGCCCACAGCCTATAAAACGGTGGACAGGAAGCAGTGCTGATGCGGGTTAACATACCTTTGTGTCAGCCTGCATTGGAGGATCCTGTGCAGCTCACACAGCGTAAACCTGGGAGCCCTGTGATTGGCGAGTTTTTCAGACACAGCAGATCACATTACCGCTGTGTCCGGATCATCACATGGTCTTGTACCCTGTGATCACTGTGTTCAGTCACAGCAATCACATAGTAAACAATGCAAGCCAGCCCCTGTCTCCTGTCCCAGTGTCACCAGTGCTCACAGTCATACCACCATACACCATACCTGATCCCCGCAATACTCCATACAAGTGTCCTGATCACCGCCATATCCCATACCAGAATTCTGATCACCGCCATACCCCATACCAGTGTCCTGATCACCCCATATGCCATACCAGCGTCCTGATCACCGCCATACCCCATACCAGTGTCCTGATCACCCCATATGCAATACCAGCATCCTGATCACCGCCATACCCCATACTAGTGTCCTGATCACCGCCATACCCCATACCAGCATTCTGATCACCGCCATACTCCATACCAACATTGTGATCACCGCCATACCCCATACCAGCATTGTGATCACCACCAAACTCCATACCAGCATTCTGATCACTGCCATACTCCATACCAGCATTGTGATCACCGCCATATCCCATACCAGCATTGTGATCACCACCATACTCCATACCAGTGTCCTGATCACCCCATATGCCATACTAGTGTCCTGATCACCGCCATACCAGCATTCTGATCACCTCCATACCCCATACCAGTGTCCTGATCACCGCCATACTCCATACCAGTGTCCTGATCACCGCCATATTCCATACTAGTGTCCTGATCACTGTCATACCCAATACCAGCGTCCTGATCACTGCCATACTCCATACCAGTGTCCTGATCACTGCCATACCCCATACCAGCATTCTGATCACCGCCATACCCCATACCAGCATCCTGATCAAAGCCATACCCAATACCAGCATCTTGATCACCACCTTATCACATACCAGCATCCTGATCACTGCCATAGCCCACACCAGTGTCCTGACCACCGCTATGCCCCTCACCAGTGTCCTGATCACCTCTATTCCCCACACCAGTGTCCTGATCACCGCTATACCCCATACCAGTGTCCTGATCACCGCTATACCCCATACCAGTGTCCTGATCACCACCATACACCTATACCAGTGTCCTGATCACTGCCATACTCCATACCAGCACCCTGATCACTGCCATACTCCATACCAGCACCCTGATCACTGCCATACTCCATACCAGCACCCTGATCACCGCCATACACCATAACAGCATCCTGATTAATTTTCAAATACACTCACAGCCACTTTATTAGATACAATTTGCTAGTGCTGAGAAAATAATTCCCACAGCATTACACCACCACCACCAGCCTGAACCGTTGGTAGAAGGCAGGATGGATCCATGTTTTCATGTTGTTTATGCCAAATTCTGACCCTACCATCTGAATGTCGCAGCAACCATTCTGCCTATTCTCCTCTGACATCAACAAGGCATTTTCATCCACACAACTGTCCCTCACTGGATATTTTCTTTTTTTTTGAACCATTCTCTATAAACCTTAAAAATGATTGTGTGTGAAAATCCTAGTAAATCAGCAGTTTTTGAAATACTCAGAGCAGCCCGTCTGACACCAACAACCATGCCACATTCAAAGTCACTTAAATCCCCTTTCTTCCCCATTCTGATGCTTGTTTTGAACTTCAGAAAGTCGTGTTCACCATGTCTAGATGCCTAAATGCACTGAGTTGCTGCAATGTGATTGGCTGATTAGCAATTTGTGTTACCAAGCAATTGAACAGGTGTATCTAATAACGTGGCCAGTGAGTGTGTATATGCCATAGTTTGTGGACTCTATAACTTTCACACAGACTAAATATTATACACTGTTTTGGGTTATTTGTATGACAAAGCAGTGTGCTTATAGTGAAACAGCACCCAGTCTCATAGTAAAACAGCTTACAGCATACAGTTAACCCTTTGATTGCCCCATATGTTAGCCCCTTTCTGCCCAGTGCCATTAGTACAGTGTCAGTGCTTTTTATTAGCACTGGCCACTGTATTGGTATCACTGGGGATGTCAGTGACACCAAGTCAGTTCCCCCTAGTGTCAGAATGCCCGCTGCAGTTCCGTAGTCCTACTATAAATCGCTGATCGCGGCCATTACCAGTAAAAAAAATTTTTTAATTAAATTGCAGTATATATACGCCATTTGTAAACGCTATAACTTTCACTTAAACCAAATAATTTACATGTATTGGGGTTTTTTTTTTTTTTTATCAAAGACATGGAGCAGAATACATTTTGGCCTAAATTTATGACGAAATTTGATTTTTTTTATTTTTTTACTGGACATATTTAATATCAAAAAGTCAAAAATATAGTTTTTTTCTCAAAATTGTCGTTTTTTTTTGTTCATAGTGCAGAAAATAAAAATGAAACAGGTGATCAGTTACCATCGTAAGAAAGCTGTATTTGTGGGAAAAAAGGACGTAAATTTAATTTGGGTGCAGCATTGTATGACTGCGCAATTGTGTCTGTTAAAGTAACGCAGCGCCGTAACGCAAAAAATGGCCTGGTCAGGAAGGGGGGTAAATCCTCAGGAGGGCAAGAACTTTTACATTGACTTGTATGGAGAAGAAAAGCATTTTAAATGCAAACTAATACATACTGTACATTTAAATATACATTTATATTGTATAAAATTGAGAAGTTTTGCTAAAGATGTGATCCATAGTTGTCCTTGGGTCCAAAGTATCATAACCTGCTTTTCGTAAAATGGAAATTTGTAATAGAGAGACTACAAGATGACACAATCCAGCTGTCAGGACATACTGATATGTCTGTGTATATAAACTTGAAACCTTTCCCCAGAGCCTGTCCTGTATTGTTTATCACGGCAATTGCTTATTGTACTGCTTGTCATGGGAATTCACGCTAATTCTAATTTGGGGACATAGGGTACTTTACTACAGGAAATATCCCCATGTACTGTATTACTGTTAAAAAAAAAATAAAAAAAATAATCAAATAGACCTTTTTTGCCTTTTTGGCATGGGCACCAAGGCTCATAGTGCATGAATCAGTCCTACTGCCATTTGCTGTGTGCAGGCAGCCCATGTACGTGTATGGTGATGCAACATCTGCCACGTGTCCCAATCTGACAGGAGTGCAGGTGTGGGTGAGCGACCCGGAATGCACGCTATTTATGTTGCCTGCATGCAGCACCTGAAATCTCAAGCCACATAAACATGCAACCCCAGGGGAGGACTGACAACTCATGGGGCCCCCGGGCAATAGGGGATCATGGGGCCCCTGTGTTCTTGCCCAAACTCAAAAAAACCTATGAAAAAGGTACCAGGGGCATCTCATGGGGCCCCCTACTGACACCGGGCCCTCGGGCAATGCCCGAGTTTCCAAATGGTCAATCCGCCCCTGTGCAACCCATTCAGGGGCTACGGGCCTCAGCGCTCATGTGACTGAGGCCTAAAACGTCCGTTAGTTTTTATTACCTTCTTCATTTGCTTTGCACTGGAGAAAGTAGGTCAGTTTTCCTTTTTGACACTGCAAGTTGCAACTCACTACACTACGCATGCGCAAGTAGAGCTGCGCTTTGTGAATGGCCCTCGTAGTCTTCTGGGACCTGTTAAGTGTCCCAGAAGACAATGGGGAGGGAGGGGGGGGGAGGACAACTTCCGCTTCTGATCACCTTAGAGAGTGGAAGTGGGAGCGGGTACCTGTCAAATTCGGGTACCCGCTCCCCTTTTGGGTGGAGCTCCGCTTTAAAGTATAACTCAAGGCAAATCTTTTTAGATTTAGACAGAGTGAAGATGGATTAGAACCCCTGTCAGTTGTTTTTGCTGTCTGTGCCCCCATTAGGGAGATTCACCCTCTCTATTTGTCCTGTTTACCATTATCATTGAAAGTGAAAGTAACAGAAAATCCCAAATTTTGGGTTGTCCCCAGAAAAGTAATAAAGGAGAAATCTTCCAATAGGGACACTAGTTCTGGTGACTTGGGGGGGGGGGGGGGGGGGGGCAAGAAATTCTTTTAATTTGCAGGACTTTCCTCTCACTTCCTATTTGGCTATGGAACAGGAAGTGAAGGGAAATCTCCCCAGTGGGACACAGATGGCGAAAACAAATCTGACAGGGGTTATAACCCTCCCTTACTCTATCCAAAGTTCCTATAGTTCTACTTTAAGGCTGCTACTGAAGGATCTGTCCTCCTGTACCCGCTTGTGTTTTTGGAGTATCCTGTGCCCTCATCCCTCTCTCCTAATAAAGTACTGCAATAAAACTACAAAAAGACACCCCTAGACTGTGTGCTCTGGAACTGATAGCTGGGCCTGGCAGCCCTGAGATCTGGGTTATTTCCAGTGGCCTCTCTGGAGGTCAGCACTACATTCCTATACCTAAAGATTCATGTTTTTGTCGTGGCTCCGGCTGTGTTCTGCAAGGTACTAAGCGACAAGTAAAAATGGTTGAAGCAATCTATGGTGACTTTTATACAAGACTAATCCTACTCTTATCACTGGAATCCATCTTCTATAGCCAATCTGTATGCCTGGTACAAATTGGCTTTAGAATTCCTCTTTAATGTGTTACTAAAGGCAAAATTTTTTATTTCATTTTAGATAGAGTAAGGAAGGGTTATAACCCCTGTCAGTTTTTTCCATCTGTACCCCATTGGGGAGATTTTTTCCTTAACTTCCTGTGCCATAGCCAAAGCAGGATTGAAAGGACATCCCTTTTCAGTAAGGGAATTCCTGGTTGTCTAAAGAACTAGTGTCCCTATTAGAAATATTTCCGCCGGGATAAGTAAATAAATTGGAAATCCATAGTGAAATATGCATTCTATTGTACATCCAGTGATATAAATGAACTGGTAAAAATGGTCCAAAAAGACCACTTACTGGTTTATTAGGCACAAAAAGACAATGCATCCACCTCTCTCTCCCCAACCCCCATACACATACACACATACAGGAATCCAATGCTGTAAGGGAAGTTGGGCTGACTCTGTTCCACCATGATACAATGATGATCCCTCTTAGCAGGGCTGCTGTTAGAAACCGTGGGGCCCCATGCAGCCAACCAGACAGAGCCTTCCCTCTCCAAATAAAAAAAAACATTGTATTAGGCTCCAGTTATGAAAGAACACAGTGATTGATCGGTACCGATCAATCATTGTGTTCATTCAGGAATGAAAGAGGCTGGTGAATGTGACATATTTACCAGACCAGCGGTGGGGAACTATTACTGGAACTGATCCCCTGTTGGCTCTCTCTGCAGCAGCTGAAAGCCAGCAGGCGGTAGAGGAGCTTTCAGCTGCTACAAAGAGCCATATAGGGGACTGGATTCCAATAATTGTTCCCCCGCTGTGCTGATCACCTTCCCTGCCCACATCTGATTCAGCCAGCTGCCTGGGCCACCCTGCTTGCTTGGGCCCCGTACAGGAGGACTGGTGGTACCCCCCTTATCCACTGCTCTGCCTCTTAGTAAAACTTATAGATCCCTTAAAGTAGAACTGGAGACAATTTTTTTTTCCAGTTTGGATAGCGTATGGGAGGGTTATAATTCATGTCAAGTTCCATTGTGGAGATTTCACGTCCCTTCCTGTCTTGCCAAAACAGGAAGTGAGAGGAAATCCCACAAAAGTGAGAGAATCCCTGATTGTCACCAGAACTAGTGGTGTCATTGGAAGATCCCCCCCCCCCCCCCATTTCCTGTTCTGCCGACAATCCTGAATTTGGGAATTTCTTTCAAATATAAAGGGGGCACAGGCAGCAATAAAAACCTGACAGGTGTTCTAATCCCTCTGTACCCTATACAAAACTAAATTTTGTCTTTAGTTATACTTTAATTCTGTTGAAATGGTGTCATTTGTTTTTGTGCTGTGTAGGATCAGATGTTTCCAACCGATTATTGTCAAATTATACCCATCTATAATAATCCTAGTCCTGTATAATTTATGCCGTTCTAAATAACTTGAGCTGGGTAGGTCTGCTTAGTCATTTGACTAGAAAGCATCTGAATTCACATAAATAGAGATCAAAGTGTTGGCGCTTTCCACTCCATTCGGAGCAATGACTCATCTAGCCAAGTGCATGAGTTTATGTCATTAAACATAGCAATGTCTAAATACGGTCCTCCACATAGACAATGACATCATAATGAGACACGGTAAAGTATCATTTATATATAGGTGAATAAATAAATACATGCAAACATAAAAATAATTCTTTGTAGCGATGATTCATCATTTCATTTACCAAAATTCTAGAAGTTTATTTTTTAGTTAAAGTAAACTCAGTATATCTATAGTATATACAGTACATGACTCAATTCTGTGTGTGTCCAAAAAGGTGAGTTTACAGGAATATTTGTCATATGGATATAAACATGCTATCAACTGTCTTGTTATGATTCATTTAGTTTATTAAATTGCGGAATTTCATCCTTCACAAATGTAGCAAGTCTTGTTACATCATTTTTTCAGGTTAAAGAAGAACTCTCGTGGTCCATAGTTTAAATTCATTTGATGGTATATATCTTTTATTACCTTGATGTGCTTCTCCAATCATCCCCTTCTGCTCTGATGCCCATCCTGCAGCCCGGGGGCTACATGCAGCCCTTCGCAACTTTTTCTGTGGCCCTTGGGACCCCTGAAGACACTACTCTATGTTTACCTGCTGCCCTGTCTGCATTGTCTTGCCATCTCATATTATATATCCACAGACCATCTTCTCTATGACTCTCTTGTCTTCTCCATGTATTTGACCATCTTCTGTATTATATCCACAGTCCATAGTCTTCTGTCCATAGTATTTGACCATCTTCTGTATTATATCCACAGTCTCTGACCATCTCTTGTCTTCTGTCCATAGTATTTGACCATCTCCTGTATTATATTATATCTCCACGGTCTCTGACCATCTCTTGTCTTCCATGTTCATAGTATTTGATCCTCTGCTGTATTGATATCTCACAGACTCTGACCATCTTCTTGTCTTCTGTCCATAGTATTTGACCATCTCCAGTATTATATCCATGGTCTCTGACCATCTCTTGTCTTCTATCCATGACCAGTATATGACCATCTCTTGTCTTCTGTCTGACCATCTGTATTATTATATCCACAGTCTCTGACCGTCTCTTGTCTTCTGTCCATAGTATTTGACCATCTACTGTATTATATCCATGGTCTCTGACCGTCTCTTTTCTTCTGTCTATAGTATTTGACCATCTCCTGTATTATATCCACAGTCTCTTACCATCTCTTGTCTTCTGTCCATAGTATTTGACCATCTCCTGTATTATATCCACAGTCTCTGACCGTCTCTTGTCTTCTGTTCATAGTATTTGATCCTCTGCTGTATTATATCCACAGTCTCTGACCATCTCTTGTCTTCTGTCCATAGTATTTGACCATCTCCTGTATTATATCCACAGCCTCTGACCATCTCTTGTCTTCTTTCCATATTATTTGATCATCTCTTATATTATATCCACAGTCTCTGACCATCTCTTGTCTTCTATCCATAGTATTTGACCATCTCCTGTATTATATCCACAGACTCTGACCATCTTTTGTCTTCTATCCATAGTATATGACCATCTCCTGTATTATATCCCTGGTCTCTGACCACCTCTTGTCTTCTGTCCATAGAATTTGACCATCTCCTGTATTATATCCATGGTCTTTGACCATCTCTTGTCTTCTGTCCATAGTATTTGATCCTCGCCTGTATTATATCCACAGTCTCTGACCATCTCTTGTCCTGTGCAGACAGCCTGCATTGTCTTAGCAGTGCCTACTACAGTAATTTATAGCTTTCACTAGGATCCCACAGGCAGTGGTGTATTTAGTTCTTGTGCTTCCCTAGGCAACACTAAAATTGGGTGCCCAACCACTACCACTAGCACACCAGCCCCCCCCCGGCCCCTGCCTCTGCCACTAAAATTGGACACCCCACCACCACCACAAGCACACCCACCCCCCTTGGAGCCCCGCCGCCGCCACTTTCTGCCATTCAAACCCCCCCCCCCGCCCCCCAACCACTGCCTGCACTAACCTTAACCTTTCCAGAGCCAAGCCCAGTGTCTTCTTTCCTTGTGCGGGAAGCTTACAGCCTTCCAGCAGCATGCAGCCTCACCAGGTCACCAGGTCCTCAAGTGGCAGTGCCCTCCCGAAAATTGTTGCCTAGGGGACCTGGTGAGGCTCCACTATAGAATCCGAGGAGGCTGCATGCTGCTGGAGGGTGTAAGCTTCCCACACAAGGAAGGAAGATTATCATATCTGAAATACAGTTTTAATTTCACTTTCCTTATCGACTCCATTACCTTTCACAAAGCTAGCAAATGTTAGTCATAACTCCTGATTTTCTGCAAAATGTAGGGGAAAATTAGAAATCTTGCTCATGCCAACGAAAGAG